CACATCTTGAAGTTGCCAAGGTTGAGAAACACTGATACAAAGAGCAATAATCAGTAGTATTTTGCTCGCAGATGCTTAAACTGAAATCAGTTTTCAGTGCAAACCTTATGTAAAAGCAAGAGATGCCAAGTAATACGAGGAAAAAAAGAACAGTGCTCCCTGCAGCATAAGGTAACCACTCATAAGGCAGTTAGGTGACACTATATTACAATATTAAGCACACCAGCCCAGAGGGAACCAGGCAGGTAGGAGCGAGCAGGTAAAAGAGGATGCAAAACTTCAGGAAAGTCCAGATTACGGTGAAGATTTCGACCCACACTGACGCCTCCCCAACCGAAGAAAGAGAAGCAGCACCTGCTTCGGTAGCCTTCTCAAAAGCCCAGGTGTTGAGGACCAAAGGCAGCTGAACTGCCCCAGCGCTCGCTACGGCTAAGCCCCCCACCCCATGCAACAGCACCAAGAAGCAGCAGGATTCACGCCATCGGCTGTCACGCCCCATGGCGAGCACCGACGCGACGGTCCGGCCCCAGCCCCGCCGCGCAGCGACAAACACAACCGCGTCGCCTTTCTGTTTCTCCCGCCTCTCGTGACCAGGGCCAGGAGACCGCATGCGCAGGAAATGGACCAGGAAGAGCGCGGCGGAGCGGCGCACTCGGATGTTAACGTCGGCAGCCGCTCTCGGGCTGGGTCAGGCGGCGCAAGCGCGCCTGGTTTTCATCCGAAGCCTCTTAGCCTGCGGTTGGGAAAGCCGTGTGGGCGTCGTTCGGAAATAGGTCAGGGGGAGCGAGCTTTCAGAAAGGAGGAAGCTGGAAAGGGTTGTAGCGATGCAGGGTTAGGAAATTGAGGGAACGGGGCTTCCAGCTATTCGTAGACCTCACTGGCTGTGTTTATCTGCTCGCCCGTGTTTAATTCAGTCATCGTGGTTTACTTAATCCAGTGCTCTGGGTTTCTAAGGCCGACTGGACTGTACACTAACTGTACAGGTTGGATTTCTGCAATACCTGGCCCACGTGCCTTCCTCAGAATTAAGAGCTCGGTGGGCCTATCTTGTGTGCTCAACCACCTGGAGAAGGGCATCCGAGCAGAAGTTGGATGGAAATGGAAGTGTTTCCTTTCAGGCGTTATTTGAGTATTCCTTCTGGTTAGGCTGCCCTGTGATAACAGGGAATTAGTATTTTGCTTATTTTATTATTTCTTGAGAGGTACAGCAGTGGGATTGGGCTTAGTCCTGACTGTGTGCCGCCTGCAAAGATAAGTGAAAGGGGGCATTGCTTGGACAGCTATTGATGCTGCACGATTGGTTCTCTCTGCCTTCAGTACGCTGTACAGAATGGCAGTGATAGCTGTAGGTTGTAGCCTCCACTTGAAGGGCACGAAATGGAGAAATACTGTACATGCAGTTCCTGTGGGAAAGCAAGAATCTATAGTTAATCCCTCCCAGCCTTAACCTGTAATGGGTCTTTTCATCTTAGTGATCCTTCTTTCTTTAGGGCCAGGATGTGGTAACCCGTATCTGAAACTTCCCAGGGCACAGAGGAATTAGCCTTCCTTTTGGTGCCTCTTCCTGATCGTAAGAGATACAGAAAGTGACCTTTCCCTGGAGGTTATCTCTTTATGATACCAGACTTCCTAGTATTCTATATTGTCCCTTATGGGCATATTGTCTCTTTATGATAACAAGATGTCACCTGACAGTCATTCATTCATAATAACCTGAGTTTGCACGACGTGCAAGGTCATAAAGAAGCTCCTAACCAATCATTATTCTTCCTTTTGACTCTGTTTCTTTGAACTTAATGTATAAAAAACCCGATTTCTTTGTGCTGGGGGTACCTCTTTTCACAGAGGGAGCCCCTTTAATGCCACGCAACAATAAAGGAAACTTCTAAAGGTTTCTCGTGTCAGGCGAAGTTATTGGCAGTCATCTCCAGGCAAGAACCCCGTTTTGGGTCCAATACACTGTTTCTGATAACTCACTTGCTTTCTTAAATCTGCAAATCAGCATTATTTATTCAGGAATTCCAACTAGTTCAATGAAAATCACTTTCCAGTAAGGCTGCAGCCTCATATAGGAGCAGACTACAGAGAATGAGTTTGCCCAAATACGTACATAGAACCATAGCCAGTTTCTTGTGTGAATGATATCATAGACCGAATGAATCAGGCAGAGTAGGGGAGGTTAGAGTAGAATCTATACTTGTCAGATACAAGTCTCAGCATTCTATCATTAGGGACAATTAAACTCATAAAATTTTGTTGATCTTTAAAGTTTGTATCAGAATTTTAATTTCTTACAAGGAAAGATTGAGTTGTAATTGGGTTCATGCACCACTAATTAAGCCATAATTGGCTTAACTATGCATTATACAAACCTGTTGACTTTGTATAACTAAAACATCAATCATGGCTGGGTTCACACAGCATGCTAAGCCAGAGTCAGCTTCCAGTCACAACAGCTAAAATAGAATGAATTCTAGTCAAAAGAATTCTATCCAATTTCAGTCCATGTTGAGAGCAAAGCATGCAAAACAGAGTTTTGGTTCATGCAGAAGCCACCTGCAGTCACCTGTGACAATGACTTATACATGACTATTTGGCACATCCCAAGTAATTTCTGCTATGAACAAGTATTTATTATAAATTTATAATTATTAAAGATTTTATTGATTAGTGATATTATTATTGAATGCAATTACACTAGTGTTTTTTTATTTGGATGTTATTAGTAAGTAGAGAATTATCAGGTGGTTTCCTGCCAAATTTTGATCAGAATCTTGCCAAAATAAGACAGTGGTAATAATATACAGTGGGGCAAAAAAGCATTTAGTCAGCCACCAATTGTGCAAGTTCTCCCACTTAACAAGATGAGAGAGGCCTGTAATTTTCATCATAGGTATACCTCAACTGGTTGTGGACAGGTGTCTTTTATACTGATAACAAGGTCAAACAGGTGCCATTACTACCTTTAAAAATCAGACAGTGTGATTTTCTGGATTTCCCCCCCCATTTTGTCTCATAGTTGAGGTATACCTATGATGAAAATTACAGGCCTCTCTCATCTTGTTAAGTGGGAGAACTTGCACAATTGGTGGCTGACTAAATACTTTTTTGCCCCACCTTTAAAAATCAGACAGTGTGATTTTCTGGATTTCCCCCCCCATTTTGTCTCATAGTTGAGGTATACCTATGATGAAAATTACAGGCCTCTCTCATCTTGTTAAGTGGGAGAACTTGCACAATTGGTGGCTGACTAAATACTTTTTTGCCCCACCTTTAAAAATCAGACAGTGTGATTTTCTGGATTTCCCCCCCCATTTTGTCTCATAGTTGAGGTATACCTATGATGAAAATTACAGGCCTCTCTCATCTTGTTAAGTGGGAGAACTTGCACAATTGGTGGCTGACTAAATACTTTTTTGCCCCACCTTTAAAAATCAGACAGTGTGATTTTCTGGATTTCCCCCCCCATTTTGTCTCATAGTTGAGGTATACCTATGATGAAAATTACAGGCCTCTCTCATCTTGTTAAGTGGGAGAACTTGCACAATTGGTGGCTGACTAAATACTTTTTTGCCCCACCTTTAAAAATCAGACAGTGTGATTTTCTGGATTTCCCCCCCCATTTTGTCTCATAGTTGAGGTATACCTATGATGAAAATTACAGGCCTCTCTCATCTTGTTAAGTGGGAGAACTTGCACAATTGGTGGCTGACTAAATACTTTTTTGCCCCACCTTTAAAAATCAGACAGTGTGATTTTCTGGATTTCCCCCCCCATTTTGTCTCATAGTTGAGGTATACCTATGATGAAAATTACAGGCCTCTCTCATCTTGTTAAGTGGGAGAACTTGCACAATTGGTGGCTGACTAAATACTTTTTTGCCCCACTCTAGCTTATCAATTTGCAGGATAATGTAGCCTCCACTTTGCAAAATTATTGTATGCAGTTTGATACTATTTTGTAACAGCCATACGGTCTCTTTGCTTAACAATTGCCTTGGGCAGTAACCGTTCAAAGTTACAGTGGTGATGAAAAAGTAACTTTGCGACCAATGCCCACACTTTTGACCTTTGCAACATCTCTCTCTATCATATATTCACCATTACAGTCAGTTAGTACGTATTGTCTTATACCTGACCCATTTTCCCCCCTTTTTTCCCCCTCGCAGAACTAGCAATCTGTTCCTGAGCTGCTTTTCTCTGCTGACCCCGGCTTCCCCAAAAGGTACTAACTGCAAGTTAAACTCAGTTCTGTGACCTTAATTAGGCTGTTCTCTGTAACTGACAAGACTTTCATCAGTTTCACATTTTTGGCTTTTTTTTCTTTCTTTTGGCCTCCTAAAGGGGCCTCATGGAGCCTTGAGTGCTGTAGGCAAACAGCCAGTGCCAGCTCATTCCTTTCTGTGTGTGTTCCCCACTGTGTGCCTCCTTACTCTCTTGTAATCCCTTCCTCTCTGATGAATGTATATGCAAACATTAATTCCCTGCTTGCTAATTACCCCAGCACTGGGATGAGCATTCCAAAAGGCAGGGAAGTGGGGAAAAAGAGAAGCTGAAGTAAAATCATAAACACAGTTGCTGTCACATGATTTTCCAGTTAGCGACTGTTTCACTTAGCAACCAAGTTGTGGGTTCCAATTGTGGTTGTTAGATGAGGACTACCTATATATTAGTCATCATATTTCATAGCCAGTTTATATGCAGAGTTAGCTCCATGTGAGTCTGGAGTAGTTTGATATCCCTTTGGGTAAATATGCTGGCTATACGGAGTCTCACCTAACTCATAGATTTCTAGTCTTGCTCTTTAAAAAGGCTTACAGTATGTTGGGATTTCTGTCAAACACACAAGATCTATTATTTGTTCTACTCAAACATTACTTTAGCTGAGGATATTGTTTGCCAAGTAAAATTATCTATCCATTCCAAGAGAAACCATTACTGCAAAGACACCAGATCCCTTTTACAGAAACCAATTTGAAACAACTCTAAAATAAATTTCTCAGCTGATTAACTGGCACCTCAGAATACAGCCAAACTACTAGCTAGCAGAAAACCTTGTTTAGGCTTCCTGTTTGATCACAGTACAGATAAAGAATATGCTACTTAGCAAAGCATATCAAAGATTTCCTGAAAGTTCACCTGCATAAATGTAATATGTGATTTCTGTGATCTTTGGTGGTATGGAATATATAATATCTGTCTGATCTTTGATTCATTCTTTTTTTCCAATGAAGTCCACTGAATAAATTGTATGTTTATCTGACGACCACTTTCATTAGGATGGAAGCCTGTGACTGATTGGAACACCCTTGAAAAATCATGCACAAATCTAGCCCTAGATGCCTTTTCTAAAATAGTCTACCTAATCCCATTGAAATCACTGGATTTTTCATCTGCTATCATTCCATGAGCACAAGCTAAATCTCCTTGTTCATGTTTCAATCTATCTGATGCTGCTTAAGCAAAAGCATCCATAGCTTGTTATGAATTATTTACATTAGTCGTTTTGCTAGCGTTTCTGCAACAATTGCAGAATGACTTTTTTTTTTTTGCTAATCTTACATTAGGTATAGCCCACTGGGCTTAGACAGACCAAATAGCAAAAATATAGACTATAAATATATAT